TGGGTTCGAGACCTGCAATTCTAGGAAGAGATCTTTGGCTCTAGCTTGAATCAAATACAAATACTTGGCCAACTGTCTGTGATGGTGTGGAGGGGGAGTCACAGGAGAGCATCCTGTGTGGAGGAAATGACTGTCACCTTTTGTGAGGGACAGTTCAGCAGGGGCCGCTTGCTGGCAGGAGAGCGTGTGCAATTTTTTTTTTTTATAAGTGAAGACTTTTGACTGTATAAAATTTAGAAACATTTAAATAGCAAAGAATATCTTAAGCAAAATAAGGGCTAAGAAAAGTTACCAAAAAAAAAAATAGTTGCAAAATGTTAACTCCCCTAAAATAACCAGAAAATTCAGGATTAAATTAATAAAAATTTTACTCAGTTTAGCTGGGAGTGTTGTTATTAGGTCTTTTGTTCTTTTGGCAGGGGGAGTTGCACTGTTTTTGAAACCAATGAAAACTTGATATAAATATTAAGTAACTTTTATAGATTTATAATAAAAACTCATAGCATATAGAAATGATCTTTATTATTTCAAATGTCTTCATCTAGTCATGTCAAACCTCCCTCAATTATGGTTTAGTATAGTGGACTTTTTTATTTCAATCAAAATAAAATACTTACACCTTCTGATTCTAGATGATATAAAAAATAATTTTTATTTATCTAGAAATAAAACTGAAGTGAGAATAATGTATTCATAAGAATTATATTTAAACCATCTATATTTGGAAAATACTATTTTAGGTAATAAGAACAAATATAGCATTAATTAAATAACAGCAGTTAAACTAAAAAGGTAAGTCAAAATTATTTTCTCAAAGAGACCTGGATTCAATCCCAGGGTTGGGAAGGTCCCCTGGAGGAGGGCATGGCAACCCACTCCAGTCTTCTTGCCTGGAGAATCCCATGGACAGAGGAGCCTGGCGGGCTATAGTCTAAGGGATTGCAAAGAGTCAGACACGACTGAGCAACTAATAGAACTACCACAGCATGATAGTTCTATTTTAGTTTTCTGAGGAACTTCCTTACAGTTTTCGATAGTGGCTGCACCAACTGACATTTCCACCAACAGTGCAGGAGGATTCTGTTTTCTCTACATCCTCTCTGGCATTTATTTGTAGACTTTTTGATGATGGCCATTCTGACTGGTATAAGGTGATACATCATTGTAGTTTTGATTTGCATTTCTCTAATAATTAGTGATGTTGAGCATCTTTGCTTTTTGGTGATGTATATATCTTCTTTGGAGAAATACCTGATTAGATCTTGTGCCCACTTTTTGACTAGGTTGTTTGTTTTTTTTAAATTGAGATGCATGAGCTGTTTGTATATTTTGGAAATTAATCCCTGTCTGTCACATCATTTGCAAATATTTTCTCCCATTTGGTGGGTTGTCTTTTCATTTTGTTTATGGTTTCCTTTGCTGTGCAAAAGCTTTACAGTTTAATTAGTTTCTATTTTAATTATTTTCATTACTCTAGGAGGTAGACTCAAAAAAGATATTGCTGCAATATTTGTGTTAAAGAGTGTTTTGCCTGTGTTTTCCTCTAACAGTTTTATAGTATCCAGTTTTACATTTAGGTCTTTAATCCATTTTGAGCTTATTTTTGTGTCTGATGTTACAGAAGGTTCTAACTTCAATCTTTTACTTGTAGCTGTCCAGTTTTCCCAGCAGCACTTACTGAAGAGACTGTCTTTTCTTCATTCTGTATTTTTGCCTCCTTTGTCATTGATTAATTTACCATAGGGTGCGTGGGTTTATTTCTGGGCTTTCCATCCTGTTCCATTGATTCCTGTTTTTGTGCCAGTACCATACTGTTTTCTTTTTATTTATTGATTTATTTGGCTGTACTGGGTCTTAGTTGTGGCATGCGGAAGCTTCAGTCTTCACTGTGGCATACAGGTTCTTTAGTTGCAACATGTGGAATCTTTGGTTGGGGCATTTAACTGTTAGTTGCAGCATGTGGGATCTAGTTCCCTGAATAAGAATTGAATTTGAGCCCCCTGCATTGGAATGGAGTCTAAGCCACTGGGCCACCAGGGAAGTCCCACCAAACTGCTTTTATTACTGTAGCTTTGTAGCATAGTTTGAAGTCAGGGAGCCCAATTCCTTCAGCTCTGTTTTTCTTTGATTTCTTTCATCAGCATCTTACAGTTTGCAGAGGACAGGTCTTTTGATTCCTTACGGAGATGTATTCCTAAATACTCTTTTTGATGCATTGGTAAATGAGATTTATTTCCTTCATTTCTCTTTCTGATCTTTTGTTCTTAGTGTAGACGAATGCAACAGATTTCTGTGTATTAATTTTGTATCCTGTAACTTTATTTATCCTGTAACTGAATTCATTGATGAGCTCTAGTAGTTTTGTAATTTTCTTGTTTCTGAAAAGTGAAAGTTGCTTAGTTGTGTCTGACTCTTTGCAACCCCATAGACTGTAGTCCTGCCATGCTCCTCTGTCCATGGAATTCTCCAGGCAAGAATACTGGAGTGGGTAGCCATTCCCTTCTCCAGGGGATCTTCCTGACCCAGGGATTGAACCCAGGTCTTCTGCATTGTAGGTAGATTCTTTACCATCTGACCCATTAGGGAAGTCCCAAGAATACTAGAGTGGGTATTCATTCCCTTCTTGAGTTCTAGTAGTTTCATAATTTTCTTGTTTCTAGTTGTGGACTTTTCTTTTCTGCCTTTACCATTTGCTGTGAAGCTGATTTGATGCTGAATTCTTTTAGCTGTTGCTTGTCTGTGAAGCTTTTGATTTCCCTGTCAAATCTAAATAAGAGTCTTGCTGGGTAGAGTATCCTTGTGTGTAGGTTTTCCCCTTTCATCATTTTAAAAATATTATGCCACTGCCTTCTGGCCTGCAGAGTTTCTGCTGAAAAATCAGCTGATAACCATATGGGGTTTCTTTTGTATGTTATTTGTTGCTTTTCCTTTTTTGCTTTTAGTATTTCCTCTTTATTCTTTTGTCAGTTTGATTACTGTGTGTCTTGGCATGTTCCTCCTTGGGTTAATCTTGTATGGGACTCTCTGCTCCTGGACTTAGGTGACTGTTTCCTTTTCCATGCTAGGGAATTTTTCAGCTATTATCTCTTCAAATATTTCCTCAGGTCCTTTCTCTCCCTCTTCTGCTTCTGGGACCCCTATAATGAAAATGTTGGTGTGTTTGATGTTGTCTCGGAGGTCCCTTAAACTGTTTTCCTTCCTTTTCAGTCCTTTTTTCTTTACTCTGTTCCACAGCAGTGATTTCCATTACTGTCTTCCAGCTTACTGATCCTTTCTTCTGCGTCATTTATTCTGCTATTGATTGTTTCAAGTGTATTTGTCATTTCAGTTATTGTATTCTTCAACTCTGGTTGTTTTTTATATTTTCTCTTTGTTAAAAAAAAAAAAAAAAAAACTTCTTGTAACTTCTTGCTATGTGCTTCAATTCTTTTCCTGAGTTTTTGATTGTCTTTACAATCAAAAGTAAAGAGTTCTTTACTGTGAACTCTTTCTCAGGTAAACTGCCTATTTGCACTTTACTTAGTTATTGTTTTAGGGTTTTATCCTGTTCATCTGAAACATATTCCTTTGCCATCTCTTTTGTTTAAATTTCTATTTGCGCTTTATGTGTTTAGTAGCTTAGTTATGTTTCTTGACCTCGGAGGAGTGGCTCTCTGTAAGGGATGTCCTAGGCACCCCTCCCAGAAGTACAGGCCCCTCTCATCACCCAAAGGCCAGGGATGAGCTGGGTTCTGATGTGTTTGTGTACTCAGCTCTGCAGGCTGCAGGATCACAGTTTTCTTGCTTCTGGTATCTGCCCTTTAGTGGGTGAGCCTGGTCTAGAGGCTTGCGCAGGCTTCCTGGTGGGAGGGGCTGATGCCCACCCCTGGTGGTTGGAGCTCAATCTGGCCCTTTGGTGGGCAGGGCCATGTCAAGGGGCATGTCTAGAGGTGACTGTGGGCTCAAGAAGCCTTTAGGCAGCCTGTCTGCTGATGGGTCTATGTTCCTGCCCTGACGATTCTTTGGCCTGAGGTGCCCCAGCCCTGGAGCCTACAGGCCTTTGGGTGAGGGCAGGTTTTGGTGCTAATGATGCAAGCAATATGTCTGCCTCCTGGAAGAGTTCAAGTAGGTGTACATTCATCAATATCTCTGCCACCAGGTTTTATGACCCCAGACAGACCCACAGTCACCCTCCTGCCAACTGCACAAGAGGGCCTCCAAGACCAGCAGATAAGTCTGGCCCAGGCTCCTAGGAAGTCAGCTGCTTTTGCTCTGCGTGCGGGTGTGCATGAGACCTTGCTTGCACCCTCCAGAAGTGGAGCCTCTGTTTCCCACCATCCCCACCCCTGTCCTGTGGCGCGCCTACAGTCAAGCCCCACTGGCCTGCAAAGCCAGATCTGCTGAGGGCTCCTCCATCCAATGCCGGAGCCCTAGACTGGGAAGGCTGATGTGGAACTCAGAGCTCTCAGCTCTGTGGGAGAATTTCTGTGATGTAATTAGTCTCTAGTTTGTGGGTCACCCACCCAGTAGTATGGGATTTAATTACACTGCAAAGTATACCCCTCCTATTGTCTCATGTGGTTTCACCGTTGTGTCTTTGGATGTAGAGTATTTTTTGTGGTAGAGTCCAATCATATGAAATATCAGTTATGCTTAAATCAAAGGCAATACTAATCTGAATCTAAAGGGATGAACATTATAGCTAAGCTTAATTTTTAAAAACCAATGTATGGTGACTATTATAGGATAGAAGATACATGTTGGCCCACAGCTAAATATTCTATTTTTCCTACAGTTTATGGTATTTCTTTTTTTTTTATTGAGATAGTATTGGTTTATAGTATTATATGTTTCATGTGTACCCCTGTATATGGCATGCTCACCACAAAATTTTAGTTTCCATCCATCACCATACAGTTGACCCCCTTCAATCTCTTAAAATTCATGTTAAAAGGAGAAAAACACTGTAAAATGAAACTCACTTCTATCAGACTGACAGAACTCACAACAAGAGAAACATATAAACACAAAACCTCATTTATTTCTGTTTGAAGCAGAGAGAGATCACTTAGCACAGGAACAATAAATAAATCATATAAATATTGAGGGAAATGTTCCCATGAATACATACATGTATATATTCTTAACAGCAGCGATCAGAAGTTTAATACAATGTAAGGTAGTTTTCAATTTTAAGAAAATGCTTTCTGACAGACTTTTGAGTATGAAGTGAACAGGTAAATCAATACCATATATCACTTATGGTTCAAGTCACTTGAATCCTGTGGACTGTGGAAACCATCTTGGGATTTACATTTAGTGTCATGATTGGCCTGTTCAACTTTTGCATTTCACTCAGTTTGGACCAGATTTACAAATTAACCCCTCACCTCTTGATCTCTCACACTCAGGACTATAGGAGGGGAAGGAAGGACGGGCTGAGAGTGAAAACATGCAGGAGACCAACCCCAGGGTTTCTAACATGTGTCAGTTCATCTCTGCACTTCTTCCCATACTTGAGAGACTTTAAAGTGTCAGGGTCCAAAGTCACACCTACAGTGGCTAAATAGATCTGAAACTGCAAAGAAAAAAACCTTAAAAATTTACAGTCCACCAACTTGAAAATTATTTCAAGACACTGCCCATGACACATTTTTTTAGTCTACTTTTTATTAACTCAGAACACTTTTTTAAAACAAATAAATATATGATTGCTTGCATCATCACCTCTGTCCAGTAGGCTACAGGAGCATCCAGCTCTGAATATCTTCCGTGAATAGCAAGCACAGGGTAGAATTAATACAACGGGGCTTCTAGCTGGCTTTTAAAGCTTTCCATATGTCTGGCTCTGAGGTGAAAAAATGAAAAACAGGAGGAGTATGGAAGGGAGTAAAGATTTAAAATTCTTTGGTGGATCTCACAGCCATTGTTTCCCTGCTGAGATCTCAGTGGAGCTGCAGACAGGGATATTCAAGGCCACACCTCAGATCAACTAAGTATAACAGGGGTGTTTCCCCTCAACTTCCTTGACCAGGTAGAATCCTCACAGAAATAGATCCAATGGGGTTCAATGATCATAATATTAATTTAGAAAGACCTCCTTCTAGCATGAAGGAAGCTTATTCCAAGATATTCTCTTGGATTCTAAAACCTTCAGCAATTAAATCAGAAGAAGCTGGGCTAATAAATAAGGAGATAGAGTTTCCTTGGTCTCAGTTTATAATTACAAGGACAACCGCTCCTGTTCTAATCCTACATTTTACTCTCTCTTGAAAATTAAATTTACGTTGGCTAATTAGCCTCCTTTTGTGTTCTGGTTGCAAAAATATTTTTAAATGTATGGTAGTCTCTACTATCAAATACATTTTTAGCTGTTAAAGTATATTCTATTAAAAATGTCATGAAACCCAAGGTAAATAGTGCAGAGTAGGGTGAGGGGGCTGTGAAGATGTTTTAATCCTTCCTTTGCTGTCTGAGAGCAAAATATTCAAACTAAAGTGACAAACAGAATTGACTTGGAATACTGCCTCTCTGCAATTCAAAAGTCAACCCACACTGAGCAAAAGCAACATTTCAAAGTGCAGAACATCTGGGCGTGTGTATGTCTAATGCCTGCATTACCACAAAAAGCATATGCAACATTCAGCAATACTGTACTTGGGGAAGTAAAACACATAAGTGATGCAGGGAGCTCGAATTTTATCACATTCTATCTTTACTAGAAAAGAAATTCAGGCTCTAATACATTATCAGGGCTAAATTTAACATCTGACAGGCTGGTTGTATGTGGCCATTCTTCCTGCTTCTGATGCTGCACTTACATTTACTGCACGTGAGTCCTAAATCTAAATGAAAACTGATGTTCAGCATGAAAATGTACATCCTTAGGGAAGGTAAAAGTGTGGATCTTTCCAAGGCTAAGAACAGCTGCTGCCGATTAGCAGATCTTGCACGTCATCCAGATCCCTCTGCCCACTCATGTGGGTTAGACGCTAGGGTAACCAAATCCTTTGGCAGGGACTGGGGAGATAGAGCAGAAAACGCCTGCCAGGACTAGGGAGAAATGGAACGAAATTTGGTGGGGCATCTTTGACATGGCTCTGCAGCTAGGAATTCTGGAAATCCAGAGACTGATACTGGAAACTGGGTTTTTACTGAGTTAATACCTCACAACACAAACTCTACAAAACCAAAATTTGTTCTGTCTTCACGCGTAGTGTATACACAAGTCTAGAAGGGTTTCCAAGGGGTGAGGGGCCGGAGACTGAGCAAATGACTGCTGAATTAGCATAACTGTGTAAGAATAAAATTTACAGTAACAGGGAAGAAATTTTCTTCTTCATTCTGTAGATACGGAGTTAGCAATATTACACATAGTTCTCTACTATGAGGTGATAATAAGGAGTCAGCTCTAAGCCCTAGGTATGAGTGTTATCATATATTAAGAAAATCTCCTTTTTCTTGTTGGTTTATAGGGTTTGGAGTTAAATGAGAAAAATATAGCATTTAAATAACATATCAATTTTTCTTAGGGATTTTATCATAACGTCATAATTTGTTTTTAATTCTAGGTTACAGGAAAGCACACTATATTAGGAAACATAAAAACACTATTTGTTTACTGTTTCTAGATGTCTAGTACAGATTAAGTCCTATTAATATAAACATTAGTGGGCCATCTAAATATTTTTCATCATCCTAGAATTCTAATGTCTTGAAAATTATTAGGAATTAAAAAGGCAAGATAAAATTGAAAATAGAGTAATTTCAATATGCAGGGTTTAAAGATTTTTAATATTTATCTAATAGGATTTGTCCTTCATTTTAAAGTTCTAACAGATTGACATGAGTATGAAATTCCCAACAACTATGGAATAGTTCTTTGGGAGGACAGGTCATCACAATGAAACCCTTCCTTTTAGTATTGACACCTCCTGGATGCCCAGAACTTGCCCCAATTTATGAAGATACCAATCTACACAACAGTGCAGTATGGAATTTGTTTCTCTTCTGATAAAACTGAAGCAATAATAGCATCACACAGTTATACTCTAAGGTATTTCAAAGTACACAAAAATACAGCTATTTATGCTATGTAGTTACGTGAATAATATTCCCAAGAGACGTTAAATCTTTAATACCCAACTTCTGTCAAACACTTAGAAGCACAGAACTATATTAAGAAAGCATGTGGCATTCGATTTCTGACATTTCATCCTGTAAGAAGGCAAAGCACAACAATAACACATCTCTGAAATGCAAATGCCATTAAGTGCAAATTTCCAGAACACAAGGTCAGTCTAGAAACACATTTTAAAATTCAACAGATTCACTTTTTAAATTAGTATGCTCAGTATATAATTTTCAAACACAATCCGAAGTGATTTTCCAATGTTTTTCATAGTCTTAACTTTTTCTCCCTTGTAAAAATATACTCATTGGTTCATTTTCTGTTTTTCAATTTTCACATCTACTAGCTGAAACTTTCTAACCTTATAGGAATATCCTTTTTTCTCCACGTTTCCAAATGTGAAATAGATTTTATTTAAATCCCATAATAAGAACACCACCAGTAATAACATTCCCTTATGTTTGAGCTTTAAAGTAAACCTTAAACAGTTCTAAAAGGAGGAATTTTTAATCCTCCTAACCAGAGCTGAGAATTAGCACAACTTCCTTCAAACGGTTTGTCAAGTGAATACTGTAACTAGACACAGAAGGAGATAGTCACCCCAAGAACAAGGGACTGTTTTTTGACTTCCTAACTCCACCTGGGCACAAGAAGATACAGAACTGCGTTACCCCAGGAAAACTTGTAGACGCTGAGGTCTTACACGGAGCTTGAGAAGGGAACCACCTGCTTTCCGCCCACATACACCTCCTCGATATTTCGGTCATCTCCTGAAAGAAGCATCAAGGAATCATTGTTTATAACCTGAACAGGGAGATATGATCAATAGAAAATGCAGCATCTAATCTGAGGACTAGAGCCTGAAATACATGCCTAAAGCAGAATTCATGTAAAGTTGAATCGACCCTGCATCACTGTCCTTTTAGCTAGAAAGAGTGGTTTCCATTTCCAGCCCTAGTTGTAAAAGAAATACTTATCTTTACGCCCCAGAATAATACTCAGCATGGTGAGATGAAGGGCTTGCAAGAACTGAGCTTCACAAGAAATACCACATGTGTCTCTCCTACTCCAAATTCACTCAGAACTCAGAGGTCACTCAATGGAGTGAGAGGAAGAATAGAATCTTCTATACTATTTACTTCTCTCCCTCTCGGTGAATAGAATTGAATGTGAGTATGTTTTAAAAAAAAAACTGGCTTCCCTGGTGGCTCAGTGGCAAAGAATCCACCTGCCAATGCAATGGGTTTGATCCCTGGGTTGGGAAGATCCCTTGGAGAAGGAAATGCAACCCAATCCAATATTCTTGTCTGGGAAATCCCATGCACAGAGGAGCCTGGTGGCCTACATCCCATGAGGTCACAAAAAAGTTGGACACGACTTAGCAGCTAAACAACATGTTAAGAAAGCACGCATGGAGAGACTCCACCACATACTTCTCACAAACACAGCATGGTGGGGCAGGCTGAAGGGTCAGAACAAGTGTAGGAGGAAGTATAGGGTGATCTCGTCTTACCTGCCGTTCCTCAAGTTTAGGGTTTAATACTATGTTCTCAAAGAGCATGTTCACTTCAAATAATGCCTTTAAATATTGTCCCACAAATGGGCTCAGTGCTAAGGAATGCTAAAAACAATAATAAGTCTAAGCAAATGATCACACATAATGCTTAACATATGGTACAATATATGCAGAGAGCATACCAAGAGACAGCAAAAGATTTTATTTAGCATAGAGACATAAATACCTACCTAGATATAGGAACTTCTGGATAACAGCCTAAAATGAAAAATAAAGATAATAATAAAAAAGAGTATTTTCTGCACTTAGAAAAGCAAATTGACAATGAATAGTGGTTGGCAAAACCCAGAAACATAAACTTATTTCTTGATGGCAAAAATATATTTTTATTTTTTTCTAAACACAGACTTTTTTTCTTTTGTAAATATATATATATATAGCCCGCAGAGGAGAAAAATGTTGTACATTTTAATGCCCAAACTTATTTATATATTTACATAAAAGATGCTATCTTGATTATCACTGTCTGTTTGCAGTTCCACATGTAAATTTCTTTAGTCTTGCATTCCACATCAAGCAGTTACAGTGAACATATTTTTAATTTAACCCCTAAAAAGGTCTTGAGATAAGATACATAATCCATCCATTTAACAGGTACTGTAATTCCTTCTGTTGTGTACTTTAGCCTGGCTGGAACACAGTCCCAGAAATGGACACACTGGTGTCTGTCTATTCCAATAACAGAGCTGGGTAAAGGGGAAGAAATTGTTTGTCACCAACAATCCAGTATCCCAAGTCAAAATGCTAAACTATGGCCAAAAGTACATAACTCTATCACTGGAACTAGCTTCTATGGCTAATAGTCACTGACTCACTTAAACTGGCATCCAATGAACACCCAAAATCTACTTTTATTAATGAAAAAGAAATGGTCTTTTGCCTGAAAAAATAAAAGTACTGATTATTAACAAATGTTTCCAATGCCTGAAAGTTCTTAATATATAACCTTGAAATCTTCAGAGGGAAAGTGTTAATATAAATTAAATAATTTAATATAATAATTTAAATATTTTAAGAGGTGTATAAGACCAAAAAAAATGCCTGGATGAATGGGACTGAACCCTATTCCCAGAAACTCACTCTAATATTCCAGGAAATTCACTCAATCAATAAAAAGTAAAAGATTAAGTAATATAAAAATAACTAATGCTATTAACTTCAAATAATCCAGCACTTTTCTTCTAAAAACCTCAGTATGTTACATTTAATATCACACTTACTCTCATAAGTGGATCAGTTTTTAAATGGCAATAGTTAAATTTTAAGAAAAACCATCTCATAAAGAATTGTTATTAAAGTAAGAAAAACCAGTTTATTTTATGTATACAAAAACGTGATAAGAGGGACAAAGTAATGAAACTCACTTTCTTATAATTAAGAGAATCAATGTAGCACTGTGATCAAGAACCCAGACCCCAAAAGTCAGAAAGTCCTGGAATGGGATTCAAACTCTGTCTATTAATTAATAGCCATGAGTTCTTAGGAAATCATTTAACCTTCCTTAAGTCTCACTGCCCCATAAACCACACAGTAATATTAATAGCATGTGCCTCTCATAATAGTTCTGATAGTTAAACAAAAAATGATGTATGAAAGTGCATAATCCCATGCCATTTAGCAGATAGAAAGTGTGTTCAATAAATGGTAACTATATTATGTTTTCTTAGAGTCAAGTACCTTCAAATATACAAATATATTCAAAATAGAAGTGTTTATTTATACCATTATTGTCATGAAATTATAATAACTTAAAAGGATCTAGCTTCCCTTATAGGAGTTTCCTCCATTCCATTAAACTGTTTCAGTGTCTTTTTTTTTTCCCTATAGGGAAGTTGTTATGACTAGTTCATGAAATAAATGCTTTTTGATCAACTTCCTTTTACGTACCTCAGAAATCTCACCAACAAAATCCCCATAAAACAGGTCAATGGGAGAGTCAGATGCTTTGGGGTTGATCAGGAGGGCATCAAATTCCTTACCCACTTCAAAGTTTCCAATCTCTCTATCCAGCCCCAGGGCTACAGGGTGTAATAAATTAACAGTCAGTCAGTATCTCCAAGCTTTTGACCATGTAAATATCCCAAAATACAAGGACAGAATCTGCCAACATATCACTAGGGAAAAAAAAATCAGTATCTTAATAATGAAGCATTCCAGTAGACCGCAAGACTTCGACTTACAGAAAGCAGAGAAAGGACAGGGAAAGCAATATCTGAGAACAAAGAGGTCTCTTCAACACCCTGATCATATTAATAATTCTGATGGTATGTCTGTTTTGGCTTTACCAGCACCCCTCACAGTCCAGCTGGTCTATGATTTCCATTCATCCCTCTAAGAAACATGACGATTGACCTAATATCTTTCTTTTCCTCTCCTATTCTCCTTCCAACATTCCAACTCCTTTCCTCCCCCTTTTTATTCTTTTGTTCTACAAAATAGCTGACAAGATCTACTTTTGTGTCAGTGAAATGAATTTCAAATAAGTAAAAACTAATTATCTTTTTTTTTTTTGCATGTTTGTCAATGCAGGCATATCCATCCTAAGTTCCTTAAATGATCTCAATAGAAAAATATTCACTTCTGAAAGTAAATGGATCCTCATAACTCAAGAGTCCCAGTGCTTTAGAAAGCAGACTAATTTCTCTGTAACCTTAAAGATTTCCTGGTTGCCAGAGAAGAATGGTTCTTTACATAGGGCATAGGTCAATAATGTCTATTGACCTGATCCATCTCACAGCTAGAATTCTTGTTCCATGAATAGTGATGTCAAGGAAGAACATCTCTCATTTTTATGGTTTACTTTCAAAAGATGAGGGTAGCTGGTTCTCCTGATCAGTAAGGGTATTGAATTTAAGCTCCTTAAAGCCAATAATGTGGATAGAGTGTTCCAAATGGAAGCATGCATGAAAGAAAGGTCACCTGGAATGCAGCCTTTTGTAGTTGAATTTTTACATGTATTTTTTGTATTCTGTCACTGTCAGAATATAGTCCTGTGTGAAAATATCAGACAATAACTGCCGCATTATATTTCTCTGTATGGATATCCGAAAGTCTTTTGGCAATGCTCTAAGCACTCATTTAGAAATCCTGCTTGTTCTTAAATGGTTATTTAAAGGGTAACTCATTTATTCTCAGAAAAGAAAGAGACATTTTAGCCAAAGAATTCTTATAGGAAGACAGAGGTGCAAACATAATTAGAAAAGTTAAAAAGCAGCTGGGTGACTTCTGATTGTGGGGAGAAGAACTGAATGAAATAGAAAATCACTAGACATCTTCTCCCCCTTCACTGATTACACTTGACATTCTTCATTTAACACTTGTCATTTTTCACTTCACAAATAGCATGACAAACGTGAGTTTTTGATGACTGTATTAAACATAAAATTATTGTGTGTTTAATAGGCCAGATAACCAGGTTCATTTGCCAGGATTTGACAAGATATGTGTGTGTGCAGGATTTGACAAGATGTGTGTGTGTGTGTGTGTTGACAAGATGTGTGTGTGTGTGTGTGCAGGATTTGACAAGATGTGTGTGTGTGTGCAGGATTTGACAAGGTGAGTGTGTGTGTGTGTGTGTGTGTGTGTGTGTGTGTGTGTGTAGTTTAGCCCCACTATGTAAGGGCTTCCCTGGTAGCTCAGATGGTAAAGAATCTGCCTGCAATGCAGGAGACTTGGGTTCGATCCCTGGGTCAAGAAGATCCCCTGGAGAGGGAATGGCAACCCATTCTAGTATTCTTGCCTAGAGAATTCCATGGACAGAAGAACCTGATGGGCTACAGTCCATGGGGTTGCAAAGAGTTGGATATATATATAAACTAACTGGATTATTTGTTAGAATTTGGAGAGTTCAGGTATGAACTAACCAAAAAAAGACACAACTACTTTCAGTGAATTATAAATTGATCTAAATTCATATTATTGCAGAGAGGCCTAACTGTGCTGGTCAGCAGCTCAAATGCACTTTAAGAAATGCAGTTTTACTGTCTCTGGAGCAGATGCTGGCTCTGTGAAAGCGATTTATGTATATCTTAATCTTGAGAGTGAATGTAAAGCTAGGAAGAGTCCAGCTTTTAACAGGGAAGCATTCATCTCATTCACTCAGACTCTTGTGGAGACACAAGCTAAGGAAACGAAACTCTGTAACAGTAACCTCAGAGGCCCAGAAAATAGATCTGAAAGCTGTACAGCAAGGTAGAAATGATTTGGTAAGCACCCCATGCTGGCCTGGTCAGATAACAGGATCCTGATGAAACAACTCACAGACGGCCTAGAATAAAAAAGCATTATTTAAATATAAGTCATTTACACCATGAAGTTAAGGTGGTAGGACAACTATATGAACTCAGATGTGAAAGTGGGGAGTGTGACACTTGTTAAAAGTATAGAACTTTTAAAACTTAGAACTTTAGAAAATGAGGTCATAAGGCATGGGAACATGCAAAGCATATGACCTTTTTCTTAAAATGTTCTTTATGGCATTCGTCATAGCAGAACATTAAGAAAAGAGCCAGGAAGTTTCTCTTCCCAGGATACCCTGGCCTCCATCATACTTCATTTCTAACATCTAGGGTATTTATCATAAATATCAAGGTATATTAAAAAATATACACCTGTCTCAAGATCTGTGTTCTTCTTTCTCACTAGCTACCTAGGGTTTCATGCTATGCTCCTTATCATCCATCCAGATTATATTACAATACTAAAGTGAAAGCAATACAGTTACCAAGTTCTATCTCTTCAGTAAAAATACAATTACATGTGAACTGGGAAAAGCTGATGAACAATATTTGCATATCAACCAGCTATATTTTTACAACTTTCTCTTTTGAAGGAGGCTTGTAATTAGTGTACTTAAGTATATAAACAAAATACATAGTCTAGGCTAAGATTTATACAGGAAGAAAAAAAGATTTATACAGGGAGATATTGCAGTGGAAAGCAATGACCTGCACTCTGGTATCAGATTCCCTAGATTCAAATAATATACCACAGCTTGACAGGTGTGTAAGCCTCACTCAGGTACCTGGTTGGTAAAATAGAATAAATAACAGTAGTTCTGAGGATTAAATAACAGCATCCATAAAGCATGTTGCATAGTGCCTACCACATGGTAAGAAACCAGTAAGTCTTGGCTATTATTATTATTACTACTCAGGTCAATAGAGAGCACTTTACTTGACTTGATGGGAAAAAACTGATTAAAGAATTCATATGCATGTGACCAATGCAAGTATCCATTACAACAATATGATAACTACATACTGAACGTCTCTTCTGCCAAAAACAAGGAACTTGCTAAATTAATGATTCAAATCATTCAAATAATGATTCACCACATGCTTGAACGTGTACTTCACTTGCTAAGCTTTGGGTATATTATGTGAGATGCAAATCATGAATATGGGGATGCCTGCTGATGTCAGCATCATGAGCCTTCATACGTCAGCCAAGGACATAGATTGGCATGGTTGTATATCATATGAGAAAGAAAGAAAATGCTCATCATTACCTTGGCTGCCTCCAAGAGTAGCTAGTCTGAAGACTTCTTTAAGGGTGAGGCTTTTTGCATTTATCTTATTAATTAAAAGGATATTGGAAACCATCACTGCTCTTCTGATTGCATCAAGCATGGATGATGAATAACCACCAGCCACATCTGTGGTAGATAAAATAAACAGTAACCTTATGAGCTGGATTATTAGGTATATAGGGTTTTTTCTGTTTTTAATGACAGATAGAGTCACTCTAATATACTTCAGAGAAAAGACCTTATCTACAAACACAGAATAGACACAGACTAATATTTAAAGGAATTCAAACCTTGCAATTAGTATCAAATTATACTTCTACTAGTTTTCTAGGGCTGCTAAAACAGATTACCACAAATGTGGTGGTTTAAAACATCAGAAATTCAGACTTCTCTGGTAGTTTGGTGGTTAAGACTCTGTGCTTCCACTGCAGAGGGCATGGATTTGATCCCTGGTTGGGGAACTAAGATCCCACATATATGGAAAAAAACAGCAGAAATTTATTCTCTCACAGTTTTGAGGGGCAGAAGTCTCAAAGTGTGGCAGGGCCACCATCCCTACAGTGTCCAGGGAAGAATCTTCCCTGATTTCTCCCAGTTTGAGGGGGCTCCTGGTGTTCCTTGGTTTGTGGCAGTGTAGCTCAGTGTCTGCCTCCATATTCAAATAGCCTTCTTCTGTGTCTTTATGTACCTTTCATTGCTTGTCTCTTATAAGGACATTCATTACTGGATTCACCTTAATTCACAGTGACTTCATCTTAAGAGCTTTACCTTAATTACATTTGCAAAGATCTTTATTCCAAATAAGGCCATATTTACATGTTATTGGTAGATATCTCCTCTTGGGGGAGGTGGTATGGGGCGCACAATTCAACCCAGCACAATACCCAAATGTTCAATAAAGTTAAGAGAAGAAACATCTTTGACTATTCCCTAAACTCTCACAGAAATTGGTCAAATATGATTACATTATAGATAACATGAGATTTAAAATAAATTCATAGTTTTATGAATTTATGCTCTAAAAACTTGTCTTAACTCTATTTTAATTCTGATGAGGACTTTGGGAATTAAATAGCTACTTCTTTATGATAATTTTTTCAGGAAGAGCTTTTAGAATGAACTTAAATATTCTGGAAGAATTAGTGTAATAAATGAGCAGTGCTGATATAGACAGCTTTACATTTGTCACTGGCATCATTAGATAAGGAATGAGAATTTTTTATAGTGTTTTAAATAAGTCCCTAATCATAATTAAATTGAAATACAGCCTTTGACAAGAATGAATATAGAAGTTAAATGGATTAGTATAAATGTCAAGTAAGCTAACATGTTTTATTAGAGGAAAAGTACATCTATAGCTAATAAAATACTTAATATTTCAAGAATTCCTTTTGTCACATCTTGGTAGACACATATAATTGTTAATGCCTATGTATATTGCAAAGATCAAAAATAATAGCCCACTAAGTAATCTTAGATTGCAGTTTAATTTTATGTTCAGCTGTCTTACATGTCTTTACATAAACTTGTATGATTTTTTTGTTTTAGAAAATACTTTTCTTTAGCCAGAATCATATTACCAGAGGCTCATCCAGTTCCTTGACAAGTTTTACTCATCTACTTACTTAGTCCACTTTAACATACAGTAACCATCCATCAACCTTTCATTTTATCATAGCATCCAGCTAATAAAACACATATGATTTGGGAAACATGCATATTATGCTTTGAAATACTTTGTCTATTGATTTTTTCTTTATTACTAGAACAAAGAAAATGTTCAATCTAAAGGCAGAATAAAATGCTATCACTACATGGTATGGAAATAAGTAAAGATTGAATATATAGAAGAATAAAAACTTGAGCCAGGGGGCAATAGAAGAATAAAAGGAAGTAATTCTATATGTATGTGTTCATCCCATTCATTCATTCATTTATCAACAGATTTACTGAGCACCTTCTTTGTACTTGATTTATTAAAGCAATCATAAATAAAAGTTACAGGCACTGCATGACCTTACTATCTTATGGAGAAGGAAAAGAGACATACAAAAAGACAAACATTAATAATAAACCATGTTCAGTTAGTGATAAAGAAAATGGAGGTAGAAAGCCCATTGTGACAGGATGGTCAGAGAAGACCTCGTTAAGTCAACAACATTTAAACTAGGACAAAAATGAGAACTCAACCATGCTTAGAGAGACATAAAGGGTATTCCAGGCAGAGGAACAAAAGGCACTCAGGTCTTTTGGCAGGAGGGGGTGTGATTCACAGAGGGGATTAAAAGGGAGCACTGTAGGAAGGAGAGCAGCAGGAGGTGGGGTTGGGGGGTGGAGAGATGTCACACCTGCAGAACTCTGTGGCCTCATAAAGAGGTTTGCATATTCAAAATCACACTGAAGGTGGTAATCAGGAGGGAGTGAAATATTTTCATTGTGATTCTTTTGAAACGAGAATACTGGATTAGAAGGGCCTAGGAATATGAGACCATTAGCAAGCTAGTGCAGGAGTTTAAGCAAGAAGCAATGGCTTCTTGTATGCTTGTATGAGGTGTATGAGGCATTTAAGAGAGGCATTTAAGAGGACAGGCTTAGATGTTTGAGGGTGTGATAAAGTTTGGGGGTTGTATGAGGAGGGGTCAAAGAGAAAGGAGAAAGTAAGCAATTGGAAATACAGGTTTGGAATTCAAAGAGGAGTCTGGGCTGGCTATAAAAATGAGTCATCTGCATATATGTAGCCCATGTAAAGTCATGGTTGCAGGTGATGACTCCTAAGAAGAGAGTTGAAAAGAGGAGATGGCCTAGGACTGAGCCTTGAGGAAAGCTTTTGAGTGGCCAGGAAGAGAAGGGGCCGCAGGCAAGAGAGGAAGAAGGGAAACAAAACCAGTGTGGTTTCACTGAATCCAAGGAAAGAGTATTTGGACAAGAAGTCTAGTGTGATAAAGACAGACTGGTGTCTTTTGGAGTTGGCAGCAAAAGAGATCATGTGTGTGTGTGTGTGTGAGTCAGTCAGGTCCGACTCTTTGCGACCCCATGGACTGTAGCCTACCAGGCTCCTCCGTCCATGGGATTTTCCAGGCAAGAATACTGGAGTGGGTTGCCATTTTCTAAACATTCATCAACAGAAGAATGGGCAAAGAAGATGTGGTACATATATACAAAAGACCACCACCCAGCCACAAAAAAAGGAACGAAACTGGGTCATGTGTAAAGATGTGGTTGGACCTAGAGACCGTCCTACAGAGTGAAGTCAGTCAGAAAGGAAGGGCAACACCTCTTAACAAGAAAACTAGTTAGAAAAATATATCAGCCACTTTAGACAGAATAAAGTGCACATGGGAGATATGAACTTCTACCTGCTTTTGCTTGGCAACCGTTTTCTGATCTCTGTCAATGCAGGTTAGCTCTGTTGTTGCTAACCAGGACAGTCTGCGGGCCCTGGATTTCATACATGTGGAACCATAGAGCGTGTGCTCTTTTGTGCTTGGCTTTGTGCACGTAACAAAATGATTTTTAAATTAAAATGTTTTATTTTATTGAAGTAGAGCTGATTAATAGTATTGTGTCAATTTCTGCTGTTTGGGAAAGTAATACATTCTCTTTTCATATTCTTTTCTAGTATGGTTTATCACAGGACATTGAATATAGTTCCCTATGCTATGCAGTAGGACCTTGCTGTTGATCCATTCTAAATGTAATAGTTGGCATCTGCTAACTCTCAAACTCCCAGTCCATTCCTCTCCCGCGGCAACTACAAGTCTACTTTCTGTGTCTCTGAGTCGGTTTCTGTCTTGTAGATAGGTTCATTGGTGTCATACTTTAGATTCTATATATAAGTGATACCATATTGGTATCTGTCCTCTTTCTGACTTATTCACTTGGTTAGATAATTTCTAGGTCCATCCATAGTGCTTCAGTGGCATTATTTCAGTCTTTTTTAATGGCTGAGTAGATGCCATTGTATGTATGTAGCACACTGTTTTTTACCCATTCATCTGTCCATGGAAATTTAGGTTGCTTGCAGTCTTGACTATTGTAAATAGTGCTGCTATGAACATAGCAGTGAATGTCTCTTTTTGTATTATAGTTTTGTGTGTATATATGCCCTGGAGTGGGACTGCTGGATCATATGGCCACTCTTTTTGGTTTTTTGAGGAAGCTCCATACTGTTTTACCTGTAACTGCACCAAGTTACCTTCCCACCAACAAGTGTATGAGGGTTCCCTTCTCACCACACCCTCTCCAGTATTTTTAACAAAATATTTTTGTTTTGTATATATCAATGCTTTGGTTTTTTAATGCTGAATGGTGTTTTTTAGTATGAATATGTTGCATCTGCTTATCTATCCTCCTGTTAGGTTTTTAAACTTTATTTCCAGTTTGGGGCTATTATTAATAAAGCTATTATAAATATTCTTTGTAACTATATGTGTTTATTTCTCTAGGGTAAATACCCAAAATGGAATTACTGAGTCATATGTGGATGTATTTTCAACTTTAGAGAACTATTGGCAGTTTCTTATAAAGTGGTTGTACCACTTCAGTCTCCTTCCAGTACTGTATAGCAATCTACATGCTTATTATTTTTTCTTTTTCAGTTTTCTTCTTCCATTTTCAAATTTTCCTTTTCCATCAAAACTCAAGGTATTTTCATAGGGCCATATGGTCTTCTTGTCCTCTAGGGATGATAGCAATATTCTGAACTCTTATTCTAGATCCTAAAGTACATGGGAGATATGTTCATCCTCTTATTATTTTTGATACGACTTTCTCTTGTTTTGCAACAGTTTTGTGAAGCGTCATGCACGTTTCTCATATTTAACAATTAAGAAATGAGAAAGTTCAGATCTGCCTCTATTTGTTATAGATAGAGTGAATGATCCAGTCTTAGACCTACACTCTTGGCACAATATAAGTTAAACAGTCTTTTAAAGTTCAAAGGAAAAGAACAAGTTCATGCATAAAAGTCATGTTTAGGAAATAGTTGTATATAGGATAGCTATGTAAAATGCAACAGCATCCTCCAAGTTAACATATGAGAATATATCATATTAAATCAAACCTTTAATCAGGAAACCAATGTTACTCTTTCCCTTTTAAGCCAATCTTTATTAACTAGTGCAACTTGCCAGGTATCTGCTAACCACATCACATGCAGTTTTTTCATTTAAGCCTCAAAACAAGCATGTAGCAGATATTGTTATAATTATTGTTGTTCTTTTTATAGAAATTAGGAAATGAATTTTTAGAAAATTAAGGTATTTTGCTCAAGGTCTTATGGCTAATAAGTGACAGAGCTCTACATAATCATTTTAGATCATCACTATGCAACCCAAACTCAAGAACTGGAAGTCATGTGAGGAACTAAAGTTGTGGAGACCAAACTCCTTGAAAATCTGAAAGCAACATCTGAGTTTTGCATTTCTACTAAATTTTCCATTGACAAAAACTCTTGACCATTTTTTTTTCTTATCCATTAAAGGTTTTCTGTCAGAGTAAAAACAACTGGTTTCCTACCTTAATACCTGAAACTACATTCAAGTATTACATAATCTCAGTGATTCAAGGCTTAAATTCAAATTAAAAAAAAAAAAACCTCAGTTGCTTTGATTCATGTAAAACCTAGGAAAACCTCTAATCTAGCACACCTCTTTAAAATTATAAATGAATCACTTTTTATTATTGTAGTCTTACCAATACTGTTTGGTATAAAAATTAACTGAGACTTGAGTTGTTGCAAAAAATGATGAAAACCATTATTTTCAATATGCAAACATCCTGGTGCTCTTACAAATCAGTAAGACAAAGGAATCAAGAGTGAAAAATAAGACTTTGTGCCCCAAAGCCATTTAAAAATCTTTTTTTAGTTCATTCATACCCAGTGATAAAGAAAGGTCATAGCAGATGCCTAGACATTTGGGCCTAACTCCCTTCCAAAGTGAGCAGCACTACGCATACTCCGGAAAAGCAATTCAAATGTGCTATGAGAAAAAGAAGACACCACTAATTCATCAGCCACCTAGATTGTCCTTCAGCCTAGCAAACATCAGACTGCCTGCGGGAATCAGAATCTCATTTTGTTAAAAACTTCTTAAAAGCAAAGCACGTTTTTTAATATATCTCAAAAATTAACTGAGACTTGAGTTGTTGCAAAAAATGATGAAAACCATTATTTTCAATATGCAAACATCCTGGTGCTCTTACAAATCAGTAAGACAAATGAATCAAGAGTGAAAAATAAGACCTTGTGCCCCAAAGCCATTTAAAAATCTTTTTTTAGTTCGTTCATACCCAATGATAAAGAAAGGTCACAGCGGATGCCTAGACATTTGGGCCTGACTCCCTTCCAAAGTGAGCAGCACTACGCATACTCCAGAAAAGCAATTCAAATGTACTATGAGAAAAAGAAGACACCACTAATTCATCAGCCACCTAGATTGTCCTTCAGCCTAGCAAACATCAGACTGCCTGTGGGAATCAGAATCTCATTTTGTTAAAAACTTCTTAAAAGCAAAGCACGTTTTTTAATATATCTCAGAGTTCTCCATTATGGCATAGACTGAATTTGTGCTCACTATTCACAAGGTCGAATAATTTTCTTTTGAGACAGTATTTGTGATGACACAGTTACTGAAGACTAAAAAACATAAAAATCCAAGCCATTGAAATTTAGCAAGAAGGACAAAACAAAAGGAAAAAAAGAACAAGGAGTTTTTAAAAAGAATCTCTAAAACACTTGAGAAGGGCTTATCCTTTATAGCCCTGTGTCTGAATATAAACATGGATAATGGCTTTCAAGAGGTTAATGTAACCAAAACGTTTCCCTTTGCATATATTTTCTTACTGCTTCCAACCTCACTATTTTATCAGCACAAGATGTGACTGCCAGAAAATAAAACTAAGTTTTTTAAAACATAGAACTGTTACTTGAAAATTAGTCACAGTAGAAAGTTATGTACTTCATCAACCACTTTGCCATGGCTCTTAATGGGAAGCTACTAACCTGTACCCAGCCCCGTCTTCACGCCATGTCTCAGGACCTCTGGCACATTGAGCAGGCCGCTGCTGAGCCTGCAGAGAGAGGAGACGGTCAGAACAAGGGGACCCCCCACATGGGTCCAACAAGAGAAGGACACTAATGGTAACAATGGTGATGTCACTGAAGATTGTGATTCCCATTGTCTCAGCTCTAATGCTGACATAAACACATTAGTCACATCTGACCATCTGAGTCCTGGAGTCAAAAAGGACCAAAATCAAAACAGCAAGAATTAGAAAGGAGGGCGGGGGATTATGTGTAAGGAAAAATAAATAAGAACTTAAACCTTGCAATTAGTTCAATGGTTTTACGGAGTTTAAATATATTTTTCAGCTTTATAAACAACTTATTGACCAGAGACGTATTAATACATCTTTTGTTACCTGAATGTTATTGATTAGATATTTCAATATTCACTTATATAACAAATCACCAGCCACAAGCATTAGTTTCTGCAAAAATCCCATGGTCAATAATGTGTTGATATAAATGACAAAATTATAGGATATTTAAAGTATACAACATGATAATTTGATATATGTATACACTGGGAGAGGATTTCTCCCCATTGAAACATCTATCACCTCATGTATATTTACCTTTTGTTGTTGAGAACCTACAAGTTCTACTCTCTTAACAAATTTCAGTTATACAATATGGTGTTAGCAACTTGTCAAAAAAAATTTTTTTTCAAGCAGCCCATCCTTCTATGCTAGGAAGTAGAAATTATAGAGTATTGCCTTTCCTCTCTTCCTGGAATCATTTGTTGCCTTCAATCACTAGTGATTTGCAAGGGCAAAGAAAGAGGGGTAAAACTGGAAGAGGGGATGCAGGCTGTAAGTCAGGGCCTGATGGATCAAATGCTGCTTCTGAGGACAGCAGCAACTAGGAGAGATTTCAAACATCGTGACCCTGAGCTCAATAGATGTGCCGCCTACTAAAGAGACAAAAACTAAAGGGAACCTCAGAAGTCTGTGAAGATGCAAAGGTTGAAATGGTTTGCTTGAAAATGCACGTTACTATCATTTTCAAAGCCCAGTACACATGCAAGAAATCTCTCAGAGTGCTGGAGAAAGAATGGCAGTGACCATTCAAACCATAAACCTAGCCATAAAGAAAAATTTAACTTCAAACCTCAGTTTGCAAAGCTGAGTCATGTGTTCATTTAGGTGTTGTGTAACTAAACTCACAGGATGTTAAACCCTTCCTCTAACTGGTCACCAGACCATAATTATGGTCACTAAGATGTACATAGGCAAGATTCTCTGTTAGGTATGATCATTTTATGTCTGAAAACTAAAAGCCTCTGGAACCTCTCAAAACACTCAGAAATATATTGCCATGGCTGACGTGCATTTCCTATACTGCCACTGACTAGAACTTTTTCATTCACAGAGTCCCCAGATTTCTGACAGCCAGAACCATCTCCTCTCTGCCTGGAGGCTCTCTCACAAAGCTGCAGCCTGCTCTGCCCTCTTTTGGGGAAGGTCTGAAATTGCAGAGACTCCATGCCCCTTTGCCCAGACCCAGCAGCCCTCCACTGGTAAGTTTGGGTATAACTACTTCAGCTCCCCCACCTCGTGGGTACGGTGTCCTTGAGGTCTACACTGGCTCCCTGCGTATTCCAAGAGGATTAAACTCCAGGAGCCCATGGTGATGACCTGCTTAGTAATGTTCTCTTTACTGACTTCCTTCCCTTCTCTGTCTCTCCCTACTAAAGGTGCTTTCTGAGATCACCTCCCAAATAAATTACTTGCACATAAATCCTTATGCCATGTTCTGCTTCTGCAAGAACTCAAAATGAGGAAGGATATAAAGTAATCCTCAAAAAAAATGAAAATCTAACAGAAACTAAGAAATTTATTGAATGAATATATGAATGATCCACTGCAACCTGCCTCTCGCTCTGTTCTAGGTCAACTAACACCAGAAATGAGAGATCCTTTCTGTATGAAATCCTGGAACAGGAACTCTTAGCCTAGCATTCATGGGTTGGCATTATGGTATCCATGAGTTCCCCAAAATTAGATGCAGCATTTTCATGTCTGTGGGGTTTTTTTTTTTTTTGTGAAGATACAGGCAACTGTCATCTGATTCCCTTGTGCACCTATAACTTTTCAAAAGGTTAAAAAAAAGTTGTAACTAAAGTGTTCTCCATCCTGGGGAATTAGCAGGACAGGGTCCCTCCTAAGTGCATCGCGTCAGGTGGCAACAGCATGACATCTACCGAAGGGTGATGGCTTCTGGTAGCACTGCACCATTTCTGGTAGTTTGTACATCACAAAGTAATGAGAAGTCAGCACCCTCTCCCTAGAACACATGGTTGGCATATGCACTCTTTCAGTCCTTAGCTCTAAATTCTCAGTGCTATTGGTTTTGAACTCTCTGTTTCCTATTCTGTTCTGTGCAAACTCAGAAATTGTAAGAGATGTGGGGCTCCTCAAATGTATACTCTGTAAAAAATCACCTCTTTCTTAAGCACTCTCAGTCTCCCCAGTGTAGCACAGACAGGCATCCTTCTATCTAGTTCACATCCCAATCGAATATAACTACAGAAGAGAGATACTGGAGGAATGACAGAAAACAAAAGCTATCTGGCTGCTGCTTTGCAGTCCAAACATTCATGATCTACCAATCCATAATTGTCTACTTACGATAAGTTAGAATTGGGACAGTGCGAGATGGACGCTCCTCGTTCCCTGAATACATCCAGTTCTTCTTCAGAAAGGTAGCAGCCATGTGCCATCACTGTCTGGAGGGAAGAGCATTCCAGGTGGAGACTACCACTTCAAAGTGCTTAAGTTAGTCCTCACTCACAAGCAGGTATTTAGCTGGTAAAATTGATTCAAGAGGGCAGGCACTGCACACATGTCAGACTTCTCAATTTTTAATCCTGATAATATTTGTGGGTTTTCCTGACTTTACTCTTGCAAAATTCTTTTTCTGTCAGTATAAAACCTGTATTTAAATAGCTTTCTTCTTTGGGGAACATGGTTCAATGATCACAGAATTATCATTAAAATAAAATCTTTCCAACCTCTGTGCAAATACAATTAATATGCAAATTGAAGGCCAATTTATTAATCATATGGAAATAGATGTAGAGTAGGGTGAAAATTACGATGTAGCATAAACAAGATCTATGCAGAATATTAACCTTTGAAACCAATCATATTCAGATGTCTGTTCACACAGTCCCTAAGAATTCATTTGCCATAATAATTAAACTTTCCATGCAGTTCATACATTTTGTTAAAGGCCAAGGCCAGGGGATATATTGCTGTAATGAGATCTCTCCTCACTCATATTAATTTTAATTAAAATTGTTTAATTATAAATATAATACATACTCATTTCTTTAAAAAAGCAGTCTTAGCGTGTTTAAAAATGTCGAAATCCTCTGCTTCCTCAGGAAGGATCACTTTTAACATTCAGTGTGTGTCTTCCAGGCAGTTTGCTAAGCGAGCATGTACCCACACATATACAAACACACATCAAACAATATTTCTACAAACACCTTTCCTTGTAGGTTTGTATACCTCATTCTTTGTGAATGTTGGATAAAATTCTAATTATCTACGTTCTATAATCTAAACAATTCCTCACTGATAGCCATTTTTGAACTTTCATATGTAATTAACATCCCTATTCATATTCCTTATAGAATGGATCTTCAGAAATACATTTGCTAACTCAAAGAGATACACATTTACATTCTAATGGATACTGACAAAAATGTCCTTGGACCAAATGACAGTCCCATCCTCAAAGAATTTTTTAGATTTATTTACCAATAAATTTAATGATTTATTCATCAGGGATGAAACTTCAGGCCCATTTTTAATTGTATGCACACATGCATATGCACACTGTGTACTTTTATTTGGGAAATGCATGTGTTACAGAAGTCTGAAGATTACTACTGAGATTTTTAAATTTAGATAAATATGCTTTATTTCATATAGATTGTATCATGATGTGCAATTTACCTTATTTGTCAGAAGATGGTTTTTATCATACACATCTGTGTAGTTTTTATAACCAGGGTATAAGTTTTCCACAGCTTTAACTTCATCACGATTTTCACTTATATGGCTCTACAAGAAAAGAAATAACATTTTCAGTTTTTCAATGTAAAATGCCATTAGAAATTATACTTCCTACCCCCAAATGATGTGGATGGTGTCTACTTTCCTAAATAAAATAATGAATGGTTGGTGTATTTTATTTAAAACAATTCTTATTATATATATGACAATGAAACTATGAATATATAATTATATGAACATGTACTATTCTAACCCTAACCCACGTAATGCTTTCTAACAGTCTTTTCAAATTTCAAACTATAGCAAGAATAAGTAAAAATAAAAAATACTAATTGAAGAAAGTCAGGAGCCTAGCTATGCATAAGTCACCTGCCTCTTCTGGTGTTGGCCACTTAAGAGTTCATTGGCCATCAAAATGGTAGAGCATGGTTTACTCATTAAAAAGCTGAAATATGAATTAAAAAGTTGAATTTTAGCCCAGGTTCTGACCCTACATATGTGTTTTAGGGTAAGTCAGTTGTTTCCTTGGCACCTCCATTTTCTCATCTTGCAAATAAAAGTGCTGGGCAAGATGAGTGATTTTCTAAATTCTTTTACCTTTCAATGTGTTGTTCTTATGAAAATTCACAGATATGCAATATTTAAAAGGTATGAATGAGTTGCCATACAGAATGAAGCAGGGTTTGGACTCTGGGACCCTGCTCCCATTCTTTCCCTTTTGTCAGCTCCCAGAATGAGTCCCTCTTCAGGAAATAGCTTGAAAATAAGAGACAAATAGTCCTGACATCATCAAGAAAGAGCGTATAAGAATGCATATACAAGCAAGTCCTGGCCCCAACACTGTCCTTTCTCCAGGGAACCACAAAACCTGCAACGTGTCACCATACCAACCCCTCACCTAAAACAGAAATCACTTCTGACCAACCAGTGATGAGTATAGTATATAAGAAATAACTCATGAGCAAGTTACTACTTCCAGAAATGGCAATGCCATTTCCCTTCCTCCCTGAGGTAGAGTATAAATAACCAAATAAATAAAAAACAACAATGGACTGAAAACAATGTTCCATCTGAAGAATGAGCTGTCTCCCTGCCTTGAGGAAATCCAGACCACTGAGAAATGGGCATGGACATTGGAAGAGAGGAAAGGAAAACCAGATGGTTTGTGTCATTTTGATAAATTTGAGTAAGTATGCACATATACATGTAGATACACCTCCAGCAAGTAAATACTTAATTTTTCTGTGTGTTGATAGGGTTCAGGACACACTAACGCAAAATATGGCACCTTGGAATACTGAATATTTTAATCCAAAGAAATCTGAGAAAATGGTAAAAGCAGGATGGTTCACTCTGATCTTGCCTTCGCCCCTTTTTTTCCTGAAACAGGTCATAAAACTCTTGTATGAGAGGTTCCCACCCTATACCTAGAGGAAAGGAGTATCCTTATCTCTGAAGACAAAGGAAGCCAAGAACCAGGCCTTGGTAAGTTTTCCCCAGTTTACTATGCTTGCTTCATACTCCTTAACCCATCCTGCTCCTCCAGGACTATACACTTGTCACCATACCTAACATAAAAATACTCAGGTATGTTTCATTGTGTCTCTGTTTCCTAATGTGGCTCTTGTATCATATAAAACTTATATAAACCTGTATGCTTTTCTCCTGTTAATCCATCTATGTCAGTTTAGTTTTCAGGCCCAGCCAGGGGCCCTAAAAATGTAACAGATAATTTTTTCCTTCCATACAATTGTATGGGATTGAACAAAAAATTTCAAATATCACAGGCCACCAAAAAAAAAAAAAAATGGGGAAAGACAAAAATAGTTAATGAACCCTAACAAGATAAATCCTAACAATCCTCCATCCTATGAAACAATAAAAGATCAATGTGTTGCCTTTCCCTGACATGCCCTTTGTTTTTGGATAGTCAACTCTTAAGAGGGAAAATTTTAGTGCAGTATGTAATGTAGCTTGAATGGAGGAGGGAAGCTCCCAACTCCCAATTTTAACCCAGCTGGAAGCTTCAGAAAGTGTTTTATTCCTAAATTGCAACCATTTAATGACAAAGTAAGATATACTTTCTTTGTTCCTGACTTTAAATTAAGAAGCTTGGAACAAAAGGGCTTTTAAATTCATTTCTGTAAGGTGGAAATTAGGTTCTTTCTGCTTTTCAAATAATAGGTGGTTCCTCCAAAAAGGAAGGACTAGAACACTGAGAAAGTATCAAAAGAGAAGCAGGAAAGAAACACATTAGATGTATCCTATGGAGAGCAGGTAACCAGTTTCTCATTAATCCTGCCTGGTTACTTAAAATGTCCTCATCTCTGGGAGCCAGATTAGAGATGACTGAGGGCAAAAGGAACCTTCAGGTTTCTTAGCTAAATAGCAAGCTAGATTTAGGTGATGTCTCTAAGGAACCTTATATCCTATGATGCTATATCTTAAGGAGCTCTTCTGAGGCTAAGAGCAGGCTGCCCCCAAAGTGTGCCACTCTGGATGTAGATTATTTTGAGCTAAAAACTAATCAGGGCCCAAAAGATTCAGAAGAAGCTTTGAACTTCCTCCTTACCACCTACTTAAGATTGGAAGCCTGTCCCAGGAAAGAGCTATTGTCAGAGATAACTATAGTAAGGTACTAGGTATGTAGACAAGGGGAACCTAGCAAAACCCACTTGCTCAAAATGGTTCAGCACATATTTGCTTACGAAATAGTAACTTTTTATTTCAGTGCCTTACCTTATTTCTGCTTGAAGCCTGAGATCCCTACTTTCTTCTTAGTCTAGAACGTGTGTATATGTCACCTTGCCTTACTGTCTTTGGAACCCTCATACTTATGTGGATTTCCTGTGTGCACATAATAAATTTTGTTTTCTCCTGTTAATGTGCACTATATGTCATGTTAATTGCCAGTGAAAAGAACTAAAAGAGGAAAGAGGGGAAACCTAACTCTTCCACAGTAGAAGACAGAGATTATGAAATTACTGCCAGAATTTAGAGTACAGAGAAGTCTTCTAGGTCTAGACAGAGGCACAAACAGGAGAAAAATGCAAATTGCCCACCTGAATGTGCAAATCACGGGCCTTCGCGAGGTTTCCCAGTTCACCCAACAAAGTCTCAGAGCAGGAAAGGGGAAAACATGGCGTCACTATGGGCTGCACTCGAGGATACTGGAAATCATCAAAAACACTTGGTAAAGAAACTATAGATATATGAATGTGTAGCACCCCAAAATGCATTTCACACGACAACATGATTTTATATCTTCATCCCTGGGGATAGTCCTTCATTCCAGGAGTAGTGGATGGGTTTCATGGAAATGGCTCGTGGTTGAGGACAAGGAAGGGTATTTCTGTACCACCAAGTTCAATGGAAGAAGATCCCATCTCAAATGCAAGACACATGAAAGCTCAGACTGAGTGGCTTTTAAGAAAAGAATTAGGAGGCAGAGGAGACGTTTCAAAGGAGAGTGCTGGGGAAACTGAAAATGGGGTGGTAGTCTGTTCCCCTTTCTACATCTTAGGGCAGTGGTGAGGCCAAGGATCCACGAAGTTACATCTAGGTCTCTCAAGATTAGACTGAAAGAAATACTGAGATGTCCTATGGTTTCCAATCAGACCTTAAAAAATGGTGAGGGAAGAGTCTGGTTTGCCATCTAAGAGACTGCCCAGTAGACCCAGAGACCAGCCTGCTGGGGGTGGGACAGAAGACGGCACTGCCCCCATAGGCTCACAACACCCAGGCGCTGTGCCGGGGATGCCTGGCTGAGGCCTTCGGGCCACATGACATGCCACACATCTATGGACCAAGGCAGTCTGGCGGGGGCATCTGGGCTGGACACCACCTGTGTTTCAGACCCGATCGGGGGTACAAGAGGCCAGAGCCAACGGTGGTATAGCTAACAAACCACACCACAACATCTAGTGGCCACCAATCTGTCTACATCAATGAAGCCCTCTTCCACTTCCCACAGACCCAGCCTATGAAATTAGAAGGTCTCAGAGGAGAGGGAGGGAAGACCACTGAAAAAAAAAAGAAAAAAAAAAGCCTGACCTTACTAAGCTGAGTTGATGGGTTCCCCATGAAAACAATTTAAGGTTTTAGGAAAATACTTTTGCATGCATGAAATAAGCTAACCACACAGACTGTTGCCGCTGCTGCTGCTAAGTCGCTTCAGTCGTGTCCGACTCTGTGCGACCCCATAGATGGCAGCCCACTAGGCTCCACCGTCCCTGGGATTCTCCAGGCAAGAACACTGGAGTGAGTTGCCATTTCCTTCTCCACCATACAGACTAACCTCTACCAAAACCAACAAATCCTACAGTCAACACAAAGGCAATCCAAAAGCGAGATAGGAACAAGTTTACTTACATTCCTCTGTAGCATTTCTGACACAAATCTGAAATAAAACAACAAATGTAACGTTAGAAAATTTAGGCATTTTTCAAATAAATTTTTTAAAAGGATAAAAACATGATCCTTACGTTTGCCCTAATTTTAATATAAACATTTCTAATGCTGGATATGTTTCACCACCACTAATTAAGGATTAACAAGTAGTAATTACTTTGTTCTCTCATTTGTAGTCCAAGAGATGGAGTGCAAAATCACAGGGAAATACAATTTTGTCATCTACCATCAGCTGGGCTGCTCACAAGTATTCCCACAGCACTCAAAGCATTCAGATAGATTAAGCTCTGTTTTAGGGAATATCACCGTATGTTTATGTTCCATGGACATTAGAGTTGTGGGGTCCTATGTACCTGGAGGTGTTTAGAAGCCATGGGCTCTGCACTTTCAGTTTCCCTAAAGTAGAAGCTGCTTGCCCACACAATCACAATAGCATCATTTATTTTCAAAGGCCAGGTCCTACTGGGCATGGATGTTGGAGTAAAGCAGAAGGACTAGGCCAGACATGTTGTGAAACAGGTGATGACAGGGGTGGTGATCTTACCAATTATATCAGTGGGGATGATGGTATCTATATGGCCTATGAAATGACTATTTCTGCCTTGGCTGGAAATATTTATGAACTATAGCTTCCTACCTTCTGGTGTTACTTTGTTTAGGAATAAAATGTGAATTAGGGTTCACTATTCCCACAAACAAGGCCTCCCGGGTGTCGCTAGTGGTGAAGAACCTGCCTGCCAGCACTGGAGATATAGGAGACCTGGGTTCGATCCTTAGGTGGGGAGGATCCCCTGGAGAAGGGAATGGCAACCCACTCCAGTATTCTTGCCTGGAGAATCCCATGGACAGAGGAGCCTAGAGGGCTATAGTCCATAGGGTCACAAAGAGTCAGACACGACTGAAGCAAATTAGCACACAGCACATTCCCACAAACACAGATTCCTAGAAAAGTTGAGCATATGGCCAAATGCTAAGGGGAAAATGTGTGCTTCCTTCTCTCCGTGGGCACATAGGAACCTCTAAACCACTGTTTTCAGAGGACACGCTTAAGGTGGAGGCCTGGGGAATGGAGAAAAGTTGGACTTCTTGAACTTTGTATCAGGATACATTTGGTCTTGGGGAAGATATAAAGCTAAAGAATTTTCTTCTATATTTCTTGGATGTTGAGTGTCATACAACACAGATCCTTGTGAAATCCTCAAGGTACTGTGAGAAAGCCATTAAAGAAATGTAGGAAAAGGGCTTCCCTGGGGGCTCAGTGGTGGAGAGTCTGCCTGTCAATGCAGGAGGCACAGGTTCAATCCCTGATCTGGGGAGCAGGATCCCACATTCTGCAAAGCAACTAAGCCTGGGCACCACAGCTGTTGAGCCTGTGCTCTGGAGCATGGGAGCCACAACTACTGAAGCCTGCATGCCCCAGAACCACGCTCTAAAACTAGAGAGGCCACCAGAATCAAAAGCCCGCACACTACAAAGAAGAGTAGCTCTCACTCGCCACAACGACTGAGGGCCCAAGAGCAGCAGTGAAGACCTATCACAGCCAGCAAATAAATAAAAGTTATATATATATATGTATATATATATATGTAGAAAAAGTACCTATGGCATCAGTAGCATGAAGTGAAGTGAAGTCGCTTAGTCGTGTCCGACTCTTTGCGACCCCGTGGACTGTAGCCCACCAGGCTCCTCAGTCCATGGGATTCTCCAGGCAAGAATACTGGAGTGGGTTGCCAGTTCCTTCTCCAGGGGATCTTCCCGACCCAGGGATCGAACTCAGGTCTCCCGCGCTGCGGGCAGATGCTTTAACCTCTGAGCCACCAGTAGCATATCCCCATGTAAAATAAAAAGAATATAAAAAAAGCACATGATCTCAAGCAATAGCATAACCTATACCCAAAAGTAATTTAATGAGCAGGCCACAGACACTCAACAGAAGTTTAACCTACAGGAGAAGCCCAGATCTATAATGAAGTAGGTAAATCATTCACTTTTTAAAACATCCTTCATTTTAAAAAGGGATTTGCCCTTCCTAAAGTATAGTAAGTACCCAGGGGCTTTCAAATATAATTTGATATACAAAACTAGTATTGATATGCAACATTTTCCTCAGGATCAGGTCAATTTCATACAAGTTAGACAAACCCAGTCAGTGACATATATGCACATTCTGCCTGGGTTAAAGGGGTTTCTTCTCTCCATCTGTAACTCCATCCACAAGATAAATCAAGACAAACATACCTCTCTGTTTCCTTGATTGATTCCTCAGTGGTTTCTTTGTATTCTGGAACAATGTCATTCAAATCCATGCAAATTTTGCCCACAAATGCCCGCTGCCCAAATTTATCTGTGAGAAACACAGAAACCATTTCAAGTCATGTTTCTTTCCTAAACTGTACTTTCCTGAGCCCTTTAAAAACATTTTAAATTAAAATCATTGTGAAAACATAAGTGAGAGTATAAAAGATCATCATATTATTTAAGAACAATTGTTTTAAAAAGCCAGTTAATTCTGTAAGTAGTAAAGATTCTCCCACTGGTACCTGACTCCTCTGTTTATACCAGGACAAAGGATATTATTTGCTTAAGGTAAACTCAGATGTGTGCAATGTCCTCTAGATGTGCAAGGTTATGAGGAATATACCCAATAATGTATATAAAGTGTCTGACACATGGGGCTTAGAAAAGGTACTGTCACTATTCTTAACTGTAGCAGTGCCAGTATTCTTCAGTTCAGTTGCTATGTCCGACTCTTTGTGACCCCATGGACTGCAGCACACCAGGCTTCCCTGTCCATCACCATGCCCAGAGCTTGCTCAAACTCATGTCCATCGAGTCAGTGATGCCATCCAACTATCTCATCCTTTGTCATCCCCTTCTCCTCCTGCCCTCAATCTTTCCCAGCATCAGGGTCTTTTCTAATGAATCGGTTCTTCGCATCAGGTGGCCAAAGTATTGGAGCTTCCGCTTCAGCCTCAGTCCTTTCAATGAATATTCAGGACTAATCTCCTTTAGGATGGACTGGTTGGATCTCCTTGCAGTCCAAGGTACTCTCAAGAGCCTTCTCCAACACCACAGTTCAAAAGTATCAATTCTTCGGTGCTCAGCTTTCTTTATAGTCCAACTCTCACATCCATACATGACTACTAGAAAAACCATAGCTTTGACTAGACGGACCTTTGTTGGCAAAGTAATGTCTCTGCTTTTTAATATGCTGTCTAGGTTTGTCATAGCTTTTCTTCCAAGGAGCAAGTGTCTTTTAATTTCATGGCTGCAGTCACCATCTGTAGTGATTTTGGAGCCCAAGAAAATAAAGTCTCTCACTGTTTCCATTGCCAGTATTGTTACCTGTGAGGAATTTTGCTTAATCCTACTAGAAGTTCTCAGCACTGAAGAACCAAATGGTTATCAGAGGAGCTAGAGGAATTCTATTTCAGTTAGAAAGTTAATGCTACATGAAGGAGTGATCATAATTTTAACATCTCTACCTCTGTCATAAGAGTCTTTCAGAAGTCTTTCTACATCTCTCTTTCCCCTGTAATTCATTGTGATACCTGGCCATTAGATTACTCTTCCTTAAATCAGCACCTTCATTATATACTTTATCTGACTCAAAACCTTTTTTGAGTCTTTGATGCATATCTGAATCACTCCACAGTCTGAAGCATCCCCTCTCCCCAACTTCTTTCATCCCACCATGCAATGAATCCTTCCCTTTAGTTCAACTCCTCTGTCCCCTGCTTCCTGTATCCTCTATGGACATTCCTGACCCCATACCCATACCCCCATGTCACTTCTCCTGTCTTAAAGGCATTTTCCTCTCTCCTTATCTCCCTTGAAAGTCCAGTTTAAAGGTCCCTTCAGTGAAATCTTTCCAGATGATCCAATTCTGGCTTCATTCTGGCTCCTCCAAAATTCACAATATTTACTTTCAGCGTCACACTTGAAGTCTTTGGCATATACTACCTTAGCCTGCAAACAAGTGTCAGCACATCAGTCAGTCAGTAGTATTTACTGAGCACCTGCTATGTGGTAGGCAATGTGCTGGGTACAAGTTTTGGAATCATCAGTCTAAATCCAGTCTCAGCTCTGCCGACTAGCTGTGTGACTTGAGGATGTTTCATAACTTCTCTGGGTGTCAGTTTATCGATCTGTAACACAGGGACATGAACAACTGTCCCAGAAGGCTATTTACAGCTAAACTGAACCAATCCATGTGGAGTGCTTTGCACAACACCAGACATCTAGTAAGAACACTACAGCTGTTACTGAAGTTATTAATCTATGTTGTGGTTTCGTTACTAAGTTGTGTCTGACTCTTTTGGGACCCCATGGCGTGTAGCCCACCAGACTTCTTTCTATGGGTTTCCCAGGCAGGATGACTGGAGTGGGTTGCCATTTTCTTCTCCAGGGGATCTTCCCAACCCAGGGATCGAATCCATGTCTCCTGCATTGGCAGGCCAATTCTTTACCACTAAGCCACGAAGGAAGACCTTTAATCAATGTGTGTACCTGTTAATCAGTTAATCCTATCTGATTCCTCAAGGGCAGAGACTATTTTCCATTTTACTGTGTTCCCAGCATCTAGCACAGTGCCCTGAGTCTAGCCAACAGCCAAGAACTATCTGTTGATTATAATAAACTGTGGTCATTTCTAGAATTAGTAAATCTGCTCCAAAAAGCCCTAAATTAATACAGACCTATTTACGTCATCCTACGACCAAAAACAAAAAGTAAATAATCAAATTACTTAAACAATAGAAAGAGTTCAAGGGCCACAGTAATACACAAATACCTAATCACTTGCAAGACGTGCAGTGCTCAAATTCTAGCAATTAAAAAGCAGGACTGCTCACAAGTATAAGTCCCTGCCAGCATGATCCCACCTGTCTGCTTCATGTGCCCATAAATCATCCTTTTATCTCCTCACCTGTAATTTCCGCAAGAAGCAGTGATGAGTCAGTGTGAATTGTTCCAAAGTAACAAGCTGTGGTTGTTCCATTCTTTAGTGTTCTCCTCTAAAAATAAATCACAAAAACCATGAATTGCCTGTGCCCAGAAGAGTCGCATGGCATATACACATGAAGATGGAATTTTGGTTTTCAATTTTAAGATGTTTTTACTTAAAGGAATGCCATCTCGACATGAAATGTAATTAAGGTAAATGGCAAAAGTATTTATATTGCAAAAATGTTAGAACTTTTGATTTCCTAGATTCACAAGGTTCTGTGTTGCAGAATTTATAAAATGTGATACTAATTCCTGACTTTTTAGGATTGTTTATGGATATGCAAACTTTATTGGGAAGGAATAAATACGATTTATTCTAGAAATTACAGGATAAAATTATTCAGCCAGCTATTTAGTTCAAACTGGCAGATTGATCACATGTTTCTATCTCTCTTCCTCAGGAAATCTCCACTAAAATAATGTAATGGAGTGTTAACATTTATTAACCCACGAGGAGAGAGGAGACATGAGCAGAGGAAATATTTTAACATCTTCACAGAAGAAAAAAACATGAACAAAAACCTGGAAGCAACTTGGAAAAAGAGAGAAACATGCGGTTGTTAACAGGGAATTGGCTGAAAGTGTGTATACAGATGATTAAACCTTGGCAGGACTCTTTCCTGTTGAAATCAGCCGTTCCTTGCAAAAGAGATTTACTCTTTGCAGAAATTTGATAGTATTTAGAGAATACAAGCCCAAAAGGACAAGGTGAGGCACAGGCTAAAGGAAGAGGCTTAAGTAGATAGGTGGCTGCCTCTGGGACCCATGGTCATCTTCCCCAAAATGTCACATGGACTACTTCCACCAGTTCTGGCAGGATTGAAGGACTTCTTTCTAGAGAAGATAAATGGCTCTAGAAGAAAGAGGTCCTCACAGTGACATTTAGGATCCACAATTAAAATGGCTATTCACTGCCTTCACTGTTCATCCTGTAATAAGCTTATCCGGCAACAAGTGTGATAATAGGAAAGAACACACCCTATCCTAGCAGCCTCTGTTCAGCTTCAGCTAATTGTTAGAGATCAGTGATGTCAGTTCATCTTGAAGGTCAAGAGAATTAGGAAAACTGGATTTTTATGTCAGTATTTTCAAATTTTAAGACACTTAGCACATGAAATAAAATATGAATGACTCTAAGTAAAGGATGTTTAGAACCTGTCAGCTACAGAAAAGGATGCACTAGCTTTCTGCCAGAATCATATGCTGAAGAGGAAAGTTAACACCTTGACAGAGGCATCGAATTCAATCTCCATCTGCCAGCAAAGTGCTTGCATCCTAGTGTGAAATAAAGTGAAGTCGCTCAGTTGTGTCCGACTCTTTGCGACCCCATGGACTGTAGCCCACCAGGCTCCTCCATCCATGGGATTTTCCAGGCAAGAGTGCTGGAGTGGGTTGCCATTTCCTTCTCCAGGGGATCCTCCTGACCCANTAATTCAAGGGTTTGGATTATCACCCACTTTATTAGAAAAGATTATCATCATCTATATTCTAAGAAAATGAATCCAAAAGAAAGACTGGGGATCCAAATTTAAAACATTTTAAATTTAGATGGTGAAAAAAAAACGAACTAAAATCTCACATGATGTAACATAGGACATGGTGAGGGAGGTTCTATCTTGAAGAAGAGAAGACTAAGTTTCTTATCCTATTAAATGGGAGACTATGGAGGAAAATGACAGAAGACTTGTAACACTTATAGCAACCTAATTTAATAGATATTTTTTCAAAAGTCATTTTGACAGACAAAAAATAGTCTTTTTAAAAGTGTACAGAATAATCATAAAAGTTGACCTTTTGTTAGGTCATAAAATAACAGTGAACTAAGAATGGAGAAGGAAATGGCAACCCACTCCAGTATTCTTGCCTGGAGAATCCCACGGACAGAGGAGCCTGGCAGGCTAGAGTCCATGGGGTCGCAAGAGTCGGACACGACTTAGCGACTAAACCATCCATCCATCCAATTACCAAGAAAAATAACCACACAAGTTACATTTACTAACCAGAATAAATGAAACTCAAAAGAGAAGTGTATCTGACATTTTCTAAACTCTCAACACTTTAAACACCTTTCTAAGACGGGCTTGAAAAAACAGCTCAAATGGAAATTTTCAGTTAATTAGCTATGATGACAGTGGAAGTAATACTACCAGACCCTGAGAGCAAGTCCTTTCTCTGAGTCAGGGGAGATAAAGGTTCTCAAATAGAAAGGCTTCTAGATGAGAAACTGCAGTTTCAAACTGGACTGGAACAAATGAGAGAGAATAGAAAGTCCAAGAATTGGCTTAAATGACATTTAGGGGACAGGACAAGGAGAGCCCGCAGAGAAGGCGAGGGGGGAAAGGTGGGGGAGGAAGAGAGGCAAGGAAGAATAGGAGAAGGAACACACAAAGCCACTCATATTGGCACCCACTGAGTTCAGCCAACTGTGGGTGCCTTCTGTATGTAACTTAAAAAGTAAGGAACGAATCCAGTTTTAAAATTTTAATGGATAAGCCATTTAAAATGCAGCTACGGTTCTTCTTCACATGTTCTGTGTTTGGCTGTCCCAGGCCCCCTGTTCCACCCTGGTTTCTCATAAGTTTTTGAGAGGGCTCTTCCATTAATCATTGATTTTGCATTTTTCCCATTTATAAAGAAGTCTAACGGGAATAACATCAACATTGTGGCTGTGTTGCCCAACCTTTCCCAGCTTTTAATTCTTGATAAGAATTGTCAGTTCTTGAGACCAAGCTTTTTGAGCTCAAAATAGATTGTGAACTTAATATGACCAAATGCTGGAGATAATGTGGAGAGAAGGGAACCCTTCTGCACTGTTGGTGGGAATGTAAATTGGTTCAGCCACTATGGAGAACAGCATGGAGGTTCCTTAAAAAAGTAAAAATAGAGCTACCATATAACCCTGCAATCCCACTCCCACTTCCAGAGAAAAACATGGCCTGAAAATATACATGCACCGCAGTGTTCATTGCAGCACTGTCTACAATAGCAAGACATGGAAGCAACCTAGACGTCTGTCAACAGAGGAACGGATAAAGAAGATGTGGTACATATATACAATGGAATACTACTCAGCTATTTCAAAAAAAAAGAAATAATGCCATTTGCAGCTACATGGATGACCTAGAGAGTGTCATACTGAGTGACGTAAGTCAGACAGAGAAGGAGAAATAGCATATGACATCCCTTCTATGTGGAATCAAAAAAGAAACAATACAAATGATCTTTCTGCAAGATAGAAAGAGACTCAACCGACTTTGAAAACAAACTTACAGTTGCCAGGAAGGGAGGGGATAGTTAAAGAATTTGGAAAGGTCATATACATACTGCTATATTTAAAATTGATAACTAACAAAGACCTTTTGTATAGGATGTGGAAGTCTGCTCAATGTGATATGCCAGGCTGGATGGGAGTGGTGTTTGGTGGAGAATTGATACATGTATATGTATGACTGAGTTCCTTCACTGTCCACCTGAAACTACCACAACATTGTTTATCAGCTATACCCCAATACAGAATGTTTTTGGTATCAAAAAAAATATTTAAAAAATAAATTTATTTTTAAAAATATTTATTTATGTATGTATGTATTTAATTGGCTGTGCTAGATTTTAGTTATGTCATTCAAACTCTTAGTTGAGGTACGTGGGATCTAGTTCCCTGACCAGGAATCAAACCTGGGCCCCCTGCGTTGGTGGCTTGGAGTATTAGCCACTGGGCCACGAGGGAGATCCCTTATTTAAAGAAAAAAAAAAGAAAAAAGTTAATATGACCATGAGCTTCAAAGCCACTATCAACAGGCCCCTTATCAGATTATATAATTTCCATAAGCTAAAATAGGGGAATAGAGTGGTCCTGACCTCTTGTCTTTTTACCTTGTACTTTAATGATTTGATACCTCTTTGGAATTAACTGCATTCATCTGCTGAATTTTCAATAACCCCATAGAGTAAACATATTCATTCTATTATCCAGGAGAATGTTTGCAACCAGTTTGTCTTAGTATATTTACAAAGAATCTCATTCTTCAGTCCTTTGACTCATATTAATCTATATAATATACCAATTCCTGAACTTTCCAGTCTTTCTAGTTCATTCCAGTCCAAAGTCCAATCTGAAATTTCAATCTCTCACCCAGTTTGCAATGTTTAAAGGGAGCTATTCCAGGACTGACTTACTGGAATTTTTTTTTCTCAACTATCTCAAGAGATGTTTGCTAACATATACTTTAAATTATTTTCAGATTAAATTATCACTGTGCAAAACTCTGGGGTCTTGATTGCCTATTTATAGATCCAGGACTGTTTTCTGAGGGAGACAATAAAAAAACAAAACAAAAAATGTCTTGGTTCACGGGTACTGCCTCAGCACCCTGGTATGCATTGCCACAGGCGATCTTCAGCCTAAGGGACAGATTCGAATTAGCAAATCTCAACTTTCTTAAGGGGATGCCCATTGCACTCTCAGCTCATCCAACTCTATCAAGTCTATGGGCCTGGCTCACAATCAGAAACAGAGGATGTGTACACTGAAAATACTTGTTGAGAGTAACACCTATTTCTCCTATTCTGTACTCACTGACAGCAAATACTTTGATTTCCCTCTCTGGTTCAGTTAAAGCCAAGTTTGTGACAGATTCTAACAAATGCATGGACCCCCCCATAGTATACATTTTTTCTTCGTTTATTTTTTTCTTTGCTGTGATTTCATGACTCATTTTCTTCTCTTGTACACAATGCAATTTTAAGATATCTCTAACCCTTTTTAGAACAATGCAAGGTAAAAATAAATTTTGAGAATAAACAGATTTGGTGTGGTTAAAACGATTCATTAACACAATGCACTAGCAACTTCCTACACAGCTTTAGTCCTTCTCAGTTTTCCTGATGTCGTGTGGATCCATGCTAAATATGTAAAATCCACAATTACACTGAATTTATAACTAAGCATGGCAAATATATAAATGACAACACTTGCTTTTACTGTTCAAGGCTTGGATGCTGCAAGATGTGGGAAACTGGCAGGAAGGCTAGGTCACTGTATAAGGCTTATTATATTATCACCATCACAACATTACTTTAAGAGAAAACCCATCAATGGGTCTAACAAAAATGCAGGAATGTTCAGACTAAGTGTTCTACATGACAGGAGTTAGTGGTTAGATAAGATACTTGCAGCTTTAATTCTCAAATGCAGAAGTTATCTCTGGCTGCTGAATCGACTAGGCATAGGGTTGGAGTAGATAAAGGGAGCTGGTTTTCTTCAGAGAGTGAAAGGAAGGGTATTTCAGGGCCTTTAGTATATGCTGGGTTGGCCAAAAAGGTTGTTAATGTTTTTCTGTAAGATGTTACGGAAAAACCCAAACAAGCTTTTTGGCCGCCCCACAGTTGGCACACTGTCCTCAGACCAAACTAGCTCCATAGTTCCCTCGAGTGGGCGAATATTCACCACATTCCCACACGCCCTGCAACAGGGGGCCATCCTAGTTTCCTTCCTTTCAAAGCTACCAAAATAATGTGATATCCTTCTAACTAATTTTAATTTTAGATTTCCCTGGATATTTCTTAAAGCAAATACATATGTCAGGCACTATTTTAACAGCTTAACAAGTATAGACTTGCTTAATTACCATAACAATCCTAAGAAGCAGGTACTGTCATTATCTTTTTTTTTTTTCTTTACAGATGGGGAAAGTGAGTCACAGAACTTTCCAAAGGTTACACAGCTATTCCATATGGTGCCCAGAACAGCACTGTGGGTTGGCAGGAGTAAAGGAATACACGTATGCATCAAACCCAAATTTAGTAAAAAAAAAAAAAAAAAAGGAGTAATGAGAAGCCAGGGGATTTGAGGATTTAGATTCAGGTGTGTTTCTTGGCTAGTGACTAGCTGTGTAGGTGAAGTGGTCACACACTCACTGAGCTATGAAAGAACTAAAAACATCTCTATAGTCCATGATAGTCTTGACTGCCTGTTTTTAATAACTTAAATCTGCCCCCAAGAAATGGATGTTTCTATAGATGACTGAACATAATACAGCAATACTCATATGCAGGATACTTACAACAACTCTGGTATATACTTCTTCAGCAAAGTCAACGCTCTGGAATTTGTGTTCTGTAGGAAACATGTGCTTGGTCAACCATTCCAAACGTGGGAGGTCCACATTACTCCCGGCAAAGGAGTATTGAGGGGCATGGATGTGTGTGTCGACCAGCCCCGGCATGAAGAACTCACTGGAAATTAAGATAGGGAGAAAAGAATTTAATAACATCTTTAGTCATTTTCCATATCTTTAAATCATGTTTTCTCTAGGCAGTGATTTAATTGTTTATCCCACCCAGAGTAGATACAATGAGGTGAATGTAAATTATATCATATAGAAGTCAGAAACTAAAAATGAAACTCTGCTAGGGGAGACACAGTCCTAAATTGGAATGACTTGGTGTGAAGTTAACCAAAGATGCTGCAAGGAGGAAAAAACTCAGCACTGGGCAGAAGCAAAGCAGTCGTTGCCTAAGAAATGCGTGAAGCTATGATTTAACCATATGATTTTGTTCCCAAAACTAGGGGCTGTAGAACAGAGAGCAAAGATGAAAGAGGAAGTCAAAACTTCCAGAGCCAGGATGAGGAATTACACACGTCACCGAGGATAACTGATGATGAGAGAAAGTATCTGCAATTTTAGTCCCAGTGGTCATCTGAACCTTGGTTGACTACAAGAAATCTAGTCCTTCTCCATGTGATGTAGGGGCTACGTTCTGAAATAGAAGTAGCAAGAGAATAAGGCTGGTTAGGGAAGGGCAATCTGAGAAGATGAGCGTGTCAGTGGGTGAGTGGTGTAAACAGCTAAGTGAAGATACAGTTGCAGTGATATGACAACCATTCTCCTGATGCTTCTGATCACTCCCAGTGTTGCACCAATCAATATTCCTATTTCTATTAACTCTTATCACAGAAAGTCCTTGAAAGGTGTTTTCAGAGACACTACCCTCAGAATTGAGGCCGCCCAATGCTAATAGATACTTAAAGCTTTTCCAAAGAAATAATCGAGTTCACTGGTATCTAGTATCTAATCACATCCAAGCAGATATTTGTTAAAAGACAGGAAGCACCACCGCTACCATCACTCCAAGTAAATATTAGTTACATTTTTATATACATAAAGAACTTGAACTCAAAATTTGACATAACAAAGAATCCCTCATAGGACCAATTCAAATGTATATCATCTAATGAAAGACAAAGCCACTAGTATCTATAAATGCCTTATTTTTTTTTAATGAAAACTATGTATGGTGGGGATGATGATAAAGATGATGGTGACAGCAGACAATGTTTACTAAAATTGGACATGTACTGGGCAATGGGTACATCATTCTAAATATCTCATTTGTGGAAGGCAGTTTATTATAGGGGTTACATATATACATTCTTGACTAAGACTGCCTGATTTTTTTTGTTTGTTTTGTTTTTAACAGACTGCCTGATTTTGAATTTAGGCCCCACCATAAAATGGAAGTGGTATATTCAACATATTAGTTAGCCTTTCTGTGACTCAGTTTCCCCATATAAAATGGAGATAGTAGTTTCACAATAGGGCTGTTGTGAGGATTGAGTTAGCATTTGTAAACACAGTGCCTCGGTAATGGAAAGCACCAAAAAAAGTAGTTGTGAAGATGATGTAATACTCACAACAAACACATGAAGTAGTACTGTAATCCCCAGCCACAAAAGAGTAAACCTAAAGCTTGGGAAATTTAAATAGCTAGAAAAAAGTAATCATTCAACTTCAGCTCTGGAGCCTAGATTCAAGCCCAGGCAGTAGCCTCCATAGTCTTGGTCACCACCCTCAGAATTTTTCATTCACTCTGGAAATGAAAAGCAGTGACAATCTACAAGTATGTCAAGAAGGCAGTGTGAAATGAGTCTACAATGTGGGGGCATGCATCGAGGGAGAAGGAAACATAGATTCCTCCCCAGTATTAGTCACTGTGCTCACCAGGACACTTTAGTCCTTGGGGTGAAGGACGCACCATGAAATGGAATGGCTGTGTGACTTCTTCATGTAGTTGAACTGTCCAATCAAATATTTCCCGAGCATCTATTCTGTTTAAGAAACTCTGCTAAGCATCAAGTCCAAAGAAAAATAGGACATTATAGAGACTATAATTTATTTGAGGAGATTAGAGATGAGTGAAGACATCTGTGTGTGTGTGTGTGTGTGTGCGCGCGCGTGTGTGCGTTCATTTGTGTGAGTGTATAAAAGAGAGGGAGGACAGACATAAAAAGATGGAGACTAAGACAGAGAGATAGAAGGAGCAATTTCACTCCTGGTAATTTACCCAAGTGAAATAAATCATATGTTTACAAGAAAGACTGTATAACAGATCACCAGCCCAGGTTGGGTGCATGAGACAAGTGCTCAGGCCTGGTGCACTGGGAAGACCCAGAGGGATCGGGTGGAGAGGGAGGTGGGAGGGGGGACNGAGGTTTTGGCCTCCAGATTAGGGTTGTGACATTTTGCAAATAAAAATAGAAGATGCCCAATTAAATTTTAATTTCAGGTGAACAGCAAAAAAAAAAAAAAAGACTGTATAAGACTGTTTCTATGGTTTTTATTTATACTAGTCTCAAATTGGGAACAATCCAAATACCACCAGAAAATAGATAAACAAACTGGGATATTAGTACAACCAAATACTATTTGGCAATGAAAAAGATTAAACTGCTAATATATACAACAATATGAGTGAATCTCAAAAACATTATTTTGAATGGAAGAATCCAGACACAGAAGAGTACATATTGAGTTATTACATTTATATAATGTTCAAAAACAGGCAAAAGTAATCAATATGACAGAAATCACACAGTAGCTGCTGCTGATGGGCTGGATAGTGACTGGAAGAGCATAAGGGAACTTTCTAGGATGATAAGAATGTTTTATATCTTGATTGGGGTGTCTGAAAAATATATATTTGTCAAAATGTATCAAATTATATAACTATCTAGGTACTTTATTATATAAAAACATTTCCTAAAAAAAACAGTTACAAAAAGTTTTTAAAGAAAAGGATTTCAATGCTCAATTTAGTGAATTAATGTATATTTGTTACTCTGCAGCTAGGAGGGAGGGAATCATGAGAATACTCGATCCTCTGTTTTTTATTTTCTTTGGCAGAACTGTGACATATTAAACCCTGGGTTCAGGAAGATAAATCTGGTGGTGACAGGCATGCATGGGGACACCCTTTCAATCTGTCAAGCATGACAGCATTTCTGAATAAAGGAAAAGTATAAGTATGTGGGAGAGAACTTGATCTTTTATTAGCTCTAGGTAGTAGAGGAGAGGAAAGAGTCAAAGAGAGTAGGTTTTTGAGCATGTGAGGCTGAACATATGACATAAAGTACAGAGAGAAAGTCCACTATGAGGCAGGGGCAATGTCATACTAAGCCTACAAAGTATGACCTCCAAGTTTCCAAAAAACGATTGAACACATGGGATAAGAGGTCACAGAGTTATAAATGGGATTCAGATCTGACAGTCTCCCCTGATTAGGTAACCCTAGAAGTTGGTGGTATAAGAGATTTCTGTAGAAAAAAGAACAAAACTAAAACTAAGCCTTGAACAGTACCCTCCACTTAAAAGAGTAAGATTGAGGAAGAGAAGGTCATGCTCAATCACTGTCACAATCAGTGATTGTGATGCTCAGTCACAATCACTGTCAGGAACATAGAGACCCGTGATAGAGAGGTGTCAGGGATGGCAATGAAGGGAAGGGCAGTGACCTCTGTCAAAAACTGCAGGAGTCAGTACACTGAGAGAACACTCATTTCCAGTGACTGGGGAGACACCTGATTTCATGTAGGCAAGCACTTTATTACCTAAGTACTTACCCAGTCCAAATATGTCTTAGTTACTGTCCTAGGTGCTGACGAGAGAGCCATGAATAGGAAAGACAAGTGGAGAGAGAAATGACTGGGCAAAAACTATTTGGTAGTGAAGGTTAGAATGGTAATATAGGGGAAGACTGAAAGTCACTTTTGTTTCCCACTAGGAGAAACCTGAGCATATTATGAAGACAGCAGAGATGGAAGAAGGACATAAGCAGGGGACAATGTTTTCAGAGGCAACAGGGAGTGAGGATTTGTCATGTCAAAAGTTTAACTTCCGTCCAGAAAACCTAGCAATCCTTTTTTAGGAAACAAAGTATTATGAAATGCTTATTAACAGAAACATTCAGCTAATCAAGGTTAGAGTCCAAGATTAATACAGAAAGCAGTACATGCAGGAATGTGGGCTGTCAGGGCTGCATTGAGATAAGCAGTCATTGAACCCAGCTACTCACTTTACAGAAAGAACAAAAGGAAGTCTGAGGATAGCAATCTCATTAGTGGCCCAGCTAGGCTTAGAACTCAGTTCTCCACTCAAGACATCACGTGTAGCTAAACTGTCATCATCAAAAGTCAAACTGGAGGCAAAGTAGAGGGGTTTGGAGGCTGAAGCAGGATAAGATGAAAAAGCTTTCCTTTCTCATCCTATTATACTCTTCCACTTCCTTCCTTTCACTTTAATCACTATCCTAATTTCCTTATAAAAATCTCAACTTTCCCCTGATAAAAACCATCAACTTCACATTCTAAATCTGGAGTGCTGGCTAGGCCTGATCAGAACCTGAGGAAAAAGAACAATATGTGCTCCTATGTACATTTATCAGAACATTCACCTGTCTTTTAATCAACTGGTAGGGCTAGTAAAAGCCCTACCCTACAATCAAGACACATGACTCTCTATTTAAAAGTCTGAGTTACCCAATCTGTCTGCCCTCACACAGTTTACTACCCTCATCAATATGCCCTGCAGGGGATATGATGATTTCAAGGGCCTGGGAACCCCAGGCTGTTTGAAAACCACTCTTTCGCTGTACAAAAAAAAAAAAAAAAAAAAAAAAAAAAAAATGCAAGGGTATGATATAACAACAACATCTTGTATGTATTAAAAATTTTGATATTTGCTCATTGTGGGGTTTTTGCATTAATTTTTATTTTTTAAAATACTGCAGTACACTATTATTTATCTTGATTGCTAAGTTTTTTGCCCTCTCCATCCTTAAATTCCTGTGTTCGAGGTGAATGCCTCACTTGCCTCACCCTAATCCTGGCTCTGCCACATCTGTCTGGTCCGTGGTCGTGGTCTGATCTACTCCTATCAAAGCACTGCTGAGTGCTCCAGTTATAATTTTCATTAAAAAAACCCCACACCGGGGTTAATTAAATTTTTTTCTTCCCTTGTCACTTTTCTATGTGTAGTACATATAGGTCTCCTGGAATGTGTGTTTGTTAGATGGATTTAACTCCAACAGCAGCCTCGTAAAGAGGGAACAAGAGGATATAAAATCCACAGATGCATTCACCTCGATCCACATCCTCCATCCTCTCATTTTCCCAACCTCCATCTCATCCACTCCCAAAGCTTCTTCTGATCCTTCACAATAAGGCATGCAAGAAGGTGACTTATAAATGTCAATTGTTCCTCAACATATATCCTGGTGAAAATGCTCCAAGAGGAAGCAGATGGTAACAGCAGAGGTGGAATGATTTCCATGACCACTGATTCATCCGCATGCCTATTGGCTGCATATGTCTAAGCCCATGAGAGGCAGCAGGGAGAGAAAAGGAGGTAAGAGATCTGAGTATAAACGTAAAGTGCAACAAAACTTTAGGGCCAGTCCCCCATCTCTCTGGACTGTCACCAGCATCTCTGCCTCAAAGCCTTAGGGGGAACACAATTCACAGATGTGCTGGAGTGGATGAGGTGTCTACACCATCTAAGACAATCCTTTGCTAATAGCCCAGGAGACAAACTCAAAGAGGGGAAGTGTCTGCTTTCCATCTAATAGCTGCAAAGCTGTAGGGTGAGGATTCATGCCAGGTGTTCTGATTCCTAATTCAGTGTTCTCACTACATTATTCTAAATCCTAAAATTGTTTGTAGAATGAAAACTATTTGGTTGACTTTGGAACTTTTATTGACTCTGGAAACATACTTGGCCTAAACCCAGACATAATCTTTGAATTAAAAAATAGTATTCCCATTTATTTTTTTAAATTTATTTTAATTGGAGGCTAATTACTTTACAATATTGTAGTGGTTTTTGCCATACATTCACATGAATCAGCCATGGGTGTACATGTGTTCCCCATCCTGAACCCCCCTCCCACATCCCTCCCCATCCCATCTCTCACAGTCATCCCAGTGCACCAGCCCTGAGCACCCTGTCTCATGCATCAAACCTGGACTGGTGATCTATTTCACATATG